CTTCCATTTCCTCCTCCCCTTCTTCCTTCCTTCCTTCCTTCCTTCCTTTCTTCCTTCCTTCCTTCCTTCCTTTTTCCCTTCTTCCTTCCATTCTCTCCCTACCTTGTTATACATAAAATACAGCGAAAAGATGCATAAAATTCGAAAATATCATAAAAATGAGAAAAAAGAAAAAATAAGGGTAAGATTATATGAAAGAGAGAAATGAAGTTTTAAAAAGTATATTATATTAGATCTTCCTCTGTCTCAGGCTCTTACTGCCTTCTTCACCCACTTGTTCTCATCCTGTGAAGCCTAAGCTGGCTACGCCTTCTTCCTTCTCTTAACCTGTAGCCCCATCATTGTGACACTGCCACCATGTTGGAGGCATGCCTGGTCCAGGGCCCCATCCTGAAGAAGGTGCTGGAGGTGCTTAAGGACCTCATCAGCAAGGCCTACTGAGACATCAGCTCAAGTGGTGTGAAACTGCAGAGCATGGATTCATCCCACATCTCCTTAGTGCAGCTCACCTTGTGCTCCAAGACCTTTGACAGGTAGGGCTGCGACCGCAAGCTGGCCATGGGTGTGAACCTTACCAGTATGTCCAAGATACTAAAGTGGATTGGCAACGAAAACATCATTACTCTAAAGGCTGAAGATAATGTGGACACCTTGTCACTAGTATCTGAAGCTCCGAATCAAGAAAAGTTTTCAGACTATGAAATGAAGCTGGTTAATGGATTTAGATGTCGAACAACTTGGAATTCCAGAACAAGAATATAGCTGTGTAGTAAAGATAACTTCTGGTAAATTCGCACGTATATGCTGAGATCTCAGTCATATTGGAGATGCTGTCGTAATTTCCTGTGCAAAGGATGGAATGAAATTTTCTGCAAGTGGAGAACTTAGAAATGGAAATACTAAATTGTCACAAATAAGTAATGTCAACAAGGAAGAAGACGCTGTTACCTCAGAGGTAAATGAGCCAGGTCAGCTACCTTTTGCACTGAGATATCTGAACTTCTTTACAAAAGCTACTCCACTCTCTCCTAGAGTAACGCTCAGTATGTCTGCAGAGGTACTCCTTGTTGTAGAATATAAAATTGCTGATATGGGACATTTAAAGTACTATCTGGCTCCCAAGATCGAGGATAAAGAAGGATCTTAGGCAGTCTTAAAATTCAAGAAAATAAAACTAAGCTCTCTGAGAACTGCTTCTGAGATTCCAGCATATTCTTAACTCTCTTCTGTCACCAAATTTGTACCTCTGAGTGCACACGTAGATAATGTTTTCTGTAAGTAACCTATATTTTTGTCTATTCTCTATAATTTGTTTAAATGATAAAGTCTCAAGTCAAACCTGGTCTTGTTAATCTAGAACTATTTCTGCCTTATCTAGAAATACTCCTTAGGATTTTTATAGACTATTAATACAGTTTTAAGAATTGTTTTCAATTTAAATAAAAGTTATTTGCATTTCAAACACCACAGGACAGTTGCAAGCATCCTAGGGAATTCTCAGCTAATGCTACCTTTCATGTAAATGTGTTTATTTTTTTTTAGTCTAGAGCAGCCATATATAAAAATACATTAGTTATAATTATTAAAATTACTCCAAATATAGTAGGTGATGAGATATTTTGAGGGATTCCAAACTATTTGGGGGAAGTCAAACTTAATTTGATATTATTCTAACTTGAGCTCAAGAAGTGAACAGGGGAGGGTAGAACAAATCCTATATATTTAATTGTCATTTTTGTTAGCAAAAGCTAACTTTTCAGAAGGTTAATGTACTCAAGTTGTGTGGGTTTTATAAGATGAATTGTTATAGGATGGTGTTTCTTTAGCCTAGAAAACCTTTTATGAGGATCTTGGAAGTTTTAGTAGATCTGTAATAGGGCCCAAGGAGTATGTTTGTGCAAAAATAACAATGAAGATAAGATTCAGTTATAATACACATCAGTTATAGTTACTTAAGATGAAACAATTATTCTTAGTACTGAGCCCAGATGGAAATATTTTTCATAGGTTCCTTATCATAAAAACATTTGAAGCTTTCCCCTCCTTCCGGTTGTCTTGCCTGGAACAGGCCGAAAAGATAGTCTTTAGGAGTTTAATTGGTATTCACTGTTAGATGCTATAGCCCAAGTCACAAGTGGTAAAAGACCCTCCTAAACGTCACAGGAGAGCCAACTCTCTGCTGTCCAAAGGCGCATCACAATTACTGTCTTGCCGTGATGCCTCTGGCAGGCAAAGGTTGGGTCACAGTGGTGGGAAAGGGGTCCACTGAGACCCATACCTTTCTTGAAACCTCCTTTATAGTTTGGACTAATACATATCAGAGGGATAGCAGGCGAGGGTTTGGGTATTTTATTCACTCATTCGATATTTTCAATGCATCTTCTCTTTTCTATTAGCACAAAATAAAAACGATATACGTATGCATATACATAGAAAGATCTTATTAAAGTAAAAGTCATTTTCTAGATTTCCCTTCACCTGCAGGTTGCCTAATTGTCCTCCAGGGGCACTATGATCTTAATAGCAATGATCAAAAATCTGCTTTCCTTATCAAATAGTGTGGTTTAGGTTTTCATTTATTTCTCAAATAAATTTTTGTACTACTGAATAATTCTATGTGTTGAACAAATATGGGGGAAGTATATCAGAACACATATGAAATAAAGCAAGCACGAGAGGCAGAAGCTCATCACCATGTGATCACCTTCCTCAGAGAGGCCCCAAGTCCCCAAAGGCCAAGACCATAACTGCTCCCTGCTACTCAGCACCAAAGTAAAAACCCTGGGCTCACGAACTCAGAAGGTCTCATTCAAAAACCATCTTCAGTGTCAAGGACACAGGCCCCAGGAACTGTGAAAATGCGAGGGTAAAACTGGAGTTTTGAGCACCTGTCACATTCCTTATTACATTTTTTTAAATCACATTTCTCCTTCTGAACTGCTGTGCTCACTGCTCAGTTCATTAAACTTTATAAGTCTCTATTTTGGAGTGTAAGTCGATTTTTACATAATTATTTGCACTTATTTACATAAAATATTTGGTTTTATATTGACCTCAATTCTCTTCAAGAACAGTAAGGAATGTTTGTCACTATGATGAGCTCTTTTAGGACAGGTCTATTTGGGGTGGGACATGAGGTGGCCCAGGCCTTCCCCAAACTTCAGCTCAAGAGAAAGAAATACTCCAAGACTCTGGCTGGGCACTGTGATAGGGCGAATGGGGACAGCACCCTGGGTGCCCGAGACTGTCACTGGAAGACAGTCAGGGGCAAGAGCAGAAAGTGTATGGCTGGCTCAGCCTTGTCTCTTCCAGTGCCTGAGGGAGGGCTGTGCCCTGCCAGGGTTTACCAAGGCCTTAGGCCCCAACTCCACAATTTATTCCAACCAAAAACCTTGTGAAGAAGTAGAGAGCCACCTCTCTTTTGTCAGTTTTTGTTCAGTAAGGAGATGGGAGTGGCTAAAGACTCCTTGGCCTGTTTGGTTTGTAAATAAATTGTTTTTGAAGAAAAGAATTTATCCTAGAATTTATAATTTTCAGAGAGGTCTAAATTAAAAATGGTCAGGAACTGAATATTTATTTTTGTCTTCTGCGGCAGTTATTAGTCTGGAGATTTTTTTTTTTTTTTTTTTTGCAATATTAAGAACACAAAGTCAATTTACAAGTTAATTAATTTCCTAATCACCAGGCAGTCTAGCCTTTTGATTTATATAATCTTGTACTGGATTTTTAAAACTCTCTTTAATTTCTTATACTTTCCTCCTTGACAGAGATGTTTCTCCCAGTTCTCACTTTTTAGTGGTTCCAGGCACTTGACTTTGAATGAAAACACCCTGTCTTTGGCTGACCAGGGAGGTGGGGAGAGGCTCACAAGAGAAACGGAATATTCTTCCTGCTCCTAATGTCCACCTAATTTTTAAAGCATAGGTTCCTTATTATATTTTAAGCTTACAATTACACCTATAGATTATATTATTAGATGCCTCCATGTCTGATATTTCATTTTTCCTAACTTGTGGGGAATGAGTGGAGGAATGGACAGTAGAAAATACTTTTTCCTCTGAGAAAAGAAATAGGGGTGTATATTGAAGCTGGGGTTAAAACATTGCTGTGGGACTGGGGGTTCAGTAGTAGTCAACGTTACATTTAGCCCTCTCTGCAAACAATTCTGTTCCACCTACCCGTACAGTATAGTAAAGCTTTTACTTTTGTATTGGACTAGTTAATCCGGTTTTCCTATCTGCTAACTTCCTTTCCCCTGTATTTCAGTTCATTAACTCTACCATTCCCCGTGCCGAAAGCGTCCGCTTAACCCATCTTCCTCTTCTGGCTACTGTTCACTCTCCACTCTCTACCATCTTCATCCTCAGTATCCCCAGCACGCACGTGGTTGAGGAGCTCTATCCGCCACCCAGCTCCAGATTTAAGTGAGTCAACGCCGTAGCTCTGGGGGTAGGGGACTCGGAGGGCACGGCCGGGACAAGGAGGTGGGAAGCGCGTTTCTTTCACGTGTTATCTCAGCGCAAATTTCTTGGAGTTCTTTCAAGACTGCTGGCAGGTTTTACTATTTCTCTGTCGCCTACTCGCCAAGCTCGCGGGTCAGCGTGCCTCCTGACTGCGCCCTGCACGCCCATACTACATGCAAAGGTTAAGCTGGTGGCCCACGAGGCCGGGATTGGGGGCGGTGGCTAACCTCGAGGTCGCTTTCTCTTCCTTTCTCCCACCCCTCGTCCTTTCCCTTACTCCCCTTAGTCACCTCTGCTTAGGCAAAACTAGCCCTCAGGGCTGGAGAGGTCCGGCGTGCTCTCGCTCTCCCTCTCAAAGGGTTAATTTTTCCGATCGCACGATGGGGAGGAGATTTCCCTGTAGACAAGTAAAAAGGGTGATGGACAAACGTGCGGGCACTAAGACCGCAAGGCATTCATTTCCTCCTACGGTGGAAGCGGACGCCGGGAGGAGGAGAGCCCCAGAGCGCGGAGCTGGGAGCAGAGCGCAGGCAATGCTCAGCCCTAGATGTAGCTGAGAGTCTGGGAGAGGCCGACCGCCGCGACCCAGCGGCGAGAGGAAGAACTGGGGGGCGGGTGGGGGAAGCATAGCACTCGAAACCTAGAGGTTTACAGATTATTTTATTTTGTGTAGAAAACACGTAACGACCCCGAAGATCAGCCCCAATGAACATGTCAGTGTTGACTTTACAAGAATATGAATTCGAAAAGCAGTTCAACGAGAATGAAGCCATCCAATGGATGCAGGAAAACTGGTAGGTGATGCTTTCGCGTGATCCTGCGTCCGCGAGCCCTGCGCGTCTTCCCCGTGTGTCCTAATGTCGGTGTTCTTGGTTTGGGCGTGAATCGAGCGGGGAATCGCGGGCCGCACACAGAGCCCGCGGTTGAGCCCCTGGGCTGCCTGAAGCGCATAGGTCTGTGTGCCCCTGTGCGAACCGCAGCTACACATGGATCTTTAACACAGATTATATAACATCGAACATATATATACATATATATATACACATATATATGTATATATATGTATATATATAATGTACATAGAATAGATGTTTGCGCGGCAGGGAAGGCGGGAGAGATGCCACATTTCAGGTTCCTTACCTGCGCTGCCTCCTGGCTTTGATCTAGAGTGGGGTTTTCTTGCTTAGCCTCCTGCAAGAAAGCGGAGTGTGCAAGGCGGTGGAGGAGGACTCCGTCTCCCTCCGGCCCTGTTTAACCCTTTCCCACCCGCCGTCCTCGGCTCTCTGGTTCTCGCCCTTTCCCCATCCCTCGTGTCCTTCCTTTCTCCTTGCGGCTCTCGCGCTCCATTGCCCTCTCTGATCTCCGCAGACGGATTCCTCCTTTCCTGGACCCCTTTCCCCACGCGGATCCTTTCCGGTTTCATAAAGAGGCGGGGGCGTGGGGGGAGGGGACAATGAAAACAAATAAAAATGAATGAACCCAAGCGAGTGGAGCCACGCCATTATTAAGTTTCTGTTTTACGGAAACGCCCTTTGCACACACTAGTTCTAATTCAGTGGGAGGCTGCTGATTGGAGTAGAGATACAGAAAATCCCTTGGGTCCTCAGAGTCCTTGGGGGCTCTTCCCCGGAAAAACTTATAATCGGAGAAAGCATCTTTCCTGTTTACTGTGTTTCCTTCCGCCAGTCCTTTTTAAAATCCTTGTGTGAGAGGCGATCCCGTGTCACCTTGCAACATTTAACAGAGTAGGTAGGGCGTGCTCATCTCGCTCTTCCTTGCCGACCACTGCTGTGGCAGACATTCCCTTCCTCGCCTTAACCCCGGGTCTGGCCATCGATAAAGTGCAAACCCAACGCACTCGGACCAGGGCAGTGCCCAGCGCCTCGATGTTGGGAGAAGGAGGCGCGGGTACGGACAGACCCAGCCCGCTGCGTGCCCCCCAGTCTCACGACCTGCCTTGCCTCCCCCATCTCGGCGGTGGGAAACCAGAGATGCTGACGCGCCAGGGGCTGGGGAGGGTCATCGCACTGGGAAGATTGCGGCGGGCCGGAGCGAGAAGGGGATTAAACTTCCTTTTCTCGGGCCTCCAGGAGTCGCGCCCAGCCTCGGGTGGTTCGGCCAAGGCTCTCGCCTCCTCCAGCCCGGAGTAGCCGGG